AAAGATATCGTGGCGATATCGGTTTTGTTAATATTTATAAATGTTCTCGCTTCAACACCTTTGATGTCATAGTTGTTATCGGTAACTAAGGTACTTTATACTTGTAGTGGTGAGTTGAAGAGATATTTAATCAACTTGCAGGTGTATGTACAAGACATAAATTTTTAATCGTTTTGAATATTGAAAAAATATTAAGTAATTATATATTCAAATAATATAAAGTATTATAAATATCTGCATGCCACAAATTCTTAAACTTGGCTTTGAAAATCCTCAATCTCTTATTCAGGGATACACGTGTCTCAATTTAACAGGTTGAATGCCACGGGGGTCACCGGTGACCGGCACTTAACTTGGCTGTGACGCCATGGGGGCCACCGGTGACCGACGTGCCCGGATTGAAAAAAAAATAAGAAAGGTAGACAAAAGACAACACTTATAATTTCTTATTATTATCATCGTTGATGTAGTGGTCTGAAGAAATGAATGCAGTATAAAACATTTGAAAATAGTTTTATTTATACATTTAATATAGTTTTATTATGCGCGCACGTTACGATGTGTCGTATTAAAACATTCTAAACAAAGGAAGGGTGAACCAGCACAGTCTTTACAATATGTCACGACTTTTTTGGTACAGTTTTTTGCAATTATTCTTCCTAGCTTCTTTGAATTTTTTTGATAACAAATTTTGCAAAATCTTCGCGCCGTTCGAGCTTTTCCCGGCATTGCTTTTAATTCATGTCGTGGTTTTTTCAGCAACCTTTCATGTGGAGAAATGGAAACTTCAGCTTCATGATCACGACTGATTGTTAACAGTCTCAAAAATAATAAAATCGTAACAGTATTACTGAACAATGCGAAGACACAATTTGAGATAAATGACAATCGCGCGAAATCGTACTCCAGCGCCACGGGGGTCACCGGTGACCCCCGCCGAAATTAACATGCCAATCATGTTTATACGTTGTAAATTATCTATTGTAGATAATATTTCAACATTATATGTATCGCTAAATAGAAAGTTCATCGTGGCGCCACGGACAATCCCGGTAAAATTGGCGTGGCATTCAACCTGTTAAAAATAGAAAACATCAATTTCATTGGAGCAAAGTAAAATTCCAAGAAAATATTACCTGTTCATTCCTTCTGCCCCATAGAAATGATTCAATCGTTGTTATTGAACACCGTCTGTCTCTTTACAAGGCAGCTGAATCCGTCGAACGAATGTCAAAGTTTTCCGATAGTTTATAAATGGGTTGTCATTTCAATGTCATCCGTCTATTCATCGAGCGTTAACCTATAAAGGTACTGAACCGCGTATTCTCAGTAAAGCTACATAAACATTAATACGATTAATACTCTGTAACTCGGTCAACCCGAACGATATTGTTCACCCTTTCAAGTTTCATTTTGACGGTTACCGTCTATCCGTTGGTCTACAAAAAAAAAAGGAGTGTACCCCCTCATGGATGAGTTAGCCACGAGGTTCCTCCGAAGTTCTAATTTTGTAATCGTATTTTGAAGTGCAACATACAGCGGCACGACAACGCAAATATACAAATTTAGCCGGCACAGATACATGTTTGCAAAAGAACGTGTAAAAACCTTATCTCTTTTACTTAACTTTGATAATTAATATTATTATTAATGAAATACTTTTGTTTTAAATGAAGCAATTTGTCTTAACGAGTTTAATCTTCTCAAAAAATGTTAAAATTACATCTTTTTAAAAATTGTTATGCTAAAACTAGTTATTATATTTCACTTCTGTTTTAAAAAAATTGCAATACTTGAATCACTTATATATGTATATTCAATTTTGTAATTCATTCTATCATTCTTATAAACAAACAACTTAACAAAAATTAACATCCTTTATTCGCGTATTTTCTAATAGTTAAGAGACCAAGTATTTGTGTTTTAATTAAATAAAATAGGGCAATTTGAGTAATACATACAGTGATTGCAAGAATTATAAGGAAATAAAACTATCTTCTCTTCGAATTAACATAATCTGTTGGATACTGAACTGTTCGATACGAATATTTTCGCCTTCATTAATAGACTATTTACGATGGCAGTAAATCCTCGTCCAATATTCGTCGCTCAAAATACACACTCTCTACAATTATTTCCATGCTCCAGACTAACAATTTGTTTTACGTACAAAAGTTTAAACACAGATTCTATAACATTATGTCAAAAAATAAACCCGTTAGAAGCGGAGTTTTCTATTCTATACTATATAGGGCGATAAAAACAAGGTCTAAGACATTAGTCTCGTAAATATAATAGTTAATTTTAGACCGAGAGGGTTGATTTTAAGTTCTATATTAATTAGACATTTTTTAATCCCCTCTGTGAGTACTATAAGCCTCTAAAACCTTTCCCTTATTTTCTATCACCCTGTATAATATTACTTTTAAACTTACAGAATTCAACCACGAAATGCTCCAACACGACAAACAATTCTAAATTGATTATAGAAAGGGTTTTTCTTCCATTCAAATTCACCCCATTAAATAATGTATTAATAATACCAAACAAATATCTGTGTAATACCAATCATATTCTCCAAATTTACGTTCAAACAACGAAAAACGATTCCAGTTTCCAAGTGTCTTTAATATTTCCACATCGAATGCCGCCAAACAAGCGCCATTTTGAGTACCATTTCCGCCAATTCTAGTTCCGAGAAACCCAATATATTTATCGAACATTCATCGAACTGGAATAAGCTTTGAATAAACGATTTCTCTGACGTTGATTCCAATAATCGAGCCCGCCCGTCGAATATAAAAGCTTCTCGAAACCCGGAGCGACTACGAATAGTAGTCAGCAGCGTCACCCCGAGGGTAAAGAGGCGAACTAACCCCCCATTGATTTTTCGCGCGAGCGTACCGCCGCCAGTGTCGTTTTACCATATAAGGAGAGGCCTCGAACCCTCGCGCCACTACTCAACGTTAACCCCCAGCGAGCAGCAACATGGCCGTCCGTTGAATGACAGTTGTTGCACTCTCCTCGCTGCCGCGTACTTGTTGACCATCCCCCTGGGCTCGGGACCTGCACCTGTCAGCATCATGCATTGGCGTCGTCGGTCGCGTATACGGCAACTCTTCGCCACGGTGAGTTCGTACCGTCGAATCACGAAAGCGACCCGGCGAAAAATCATGCAGTGCCACCATTCTCAATTGCTACCCTCTTCTTCGACCTTAGCCGTAAACAATTCGCTGACCCCAGGGCTGTTACGTTTTTCTTTCGTTGCTGCTGTAACTCTTCAAACCTGGTCGCATTCGATTTTCATCCATTGTGAAAATTATGGTATCCTCGATTCGAACGTTCTGAAAGTGATACGTACTAGGGGTTCAGATCGAAGTTTGTTTATGTGATTGATCACGCGTTTGGTGCATCCTTGCTTCGATGGAGGAGCTGGCTCGTTATCCTTTCCTAGTTGGAGGCGGAGAAGGCTCCTTTTGGCATCGCTATGAAGACACTGTGCAGATTCGGCGTGCGGTTCTGCTTCGAATCGTTGCTGGAATTTCGAGTGTAAATATTTATTCTGTCTTTATGTGGTGTATGCTGTTATTTCTGACTGCGTTTAATGGGCGGGAATAAAAGTGCAATTGGTATTCTGAATTCATAATAATTACGGTCCGCTTTCTTTGGACAGTATTAGGTTCAAGTTGGAATGGTGAATTTGCTCGAACTTTCAATTATTTCGTTTCTTCTTAACGATGTTCTAAATGTTACTGAATTACCTCGTAAAAAACGGTACAACTATGTTATAAATCTGTGGGTTTTAAAGTGACGAGAGAAGTTCGTTAGCGGGACATACACTTCTCCGCTAAAAATAACGGAGACATTCACCGGTACATTGGAATTTCTTGGTGCACAATTTTAGATCTAGTAAACCTGATCGTTGTCCTTTCGTTTGTGACGGGGTTTCCGTAAATGTCTCCGTATAACGTAGTTTTATCGCTTTATCTACTGTCTGATAAATTCTTTCGAAAAATTCATTTACCATCGTTATCGCTAACGCTTGGTTGCATCGTAAAGTATTGTAAAACAAAGCGTCACAACTTTCGCTTAGGGTTATAATAATAACGATAATAACATTTTCAATTTTATCATTGAAAGTTGACGAAGAAGATTGATAAGAATAAAATCAGCTTCGTCCACCACTTTATTACAAGCACACTGAATAAAATTTCCGAAGATCATCGCTTTTATTACCAGTGGAAATTCGGTGTAGATCCCAAATTTCTATCAACTAATAATACGTTAGGACGGTCCGTGGCTCGATAACTATATTTATAAATTTATTCGATTTCACCAACGAATTTCCGTGAATGAAAATCGAGAAACGTATCGAAACTTTAATTGGATTCGATACACGTTGAGGATGTTAGTCCTCGGAATACTTTGTCGTTTCAGGTGAGGTCAGCATACATTGACGCTGAAGAGTGGAATTAACAGAAGGTTCGTCCCTCGTTCACGAGTTCACAGAATTCATTCGTTCTACATATACACGCGCAGAGTTTCCGAGCGGTGCACACATGCACACGTTAACACGTATACTCGTCGTTTGTCTGGAATTAACACTTCGACACGTATATACGCGCGGATCGGCTTAGGGATCGGGCCAGAAATTCAAATTCCGTTTCGACTCCGACTAGGAACGACGCAAGCTCCTATCGTGAAATCGAAGTCGAAGTCCGTTCGAGCGGAAATTTTGCAAGTAGTTTTCACGATTAAATCGGTGCATTTACGGAATCGATATTTTAATTTTTTTTTTTTATAACAATCGGATCATCGATGTTACACTTTCAGTCCGTTAATAATTCATTTTCATCGTATACTTTGTTATATTTTCTCTGAAGTAAATCTTGCGAGTAGCATATCTTGTGATACGATTTAACGTCACGCTACAGTATTTGTCTTATTTAAGTATTTACCCAACAGAATGTGTATATAAATACGTTTCCCTTTTATTCTAGATGCCTTTCATGTTGTAAGTAACGCTCGAGCGAAGAGAGCCTCAGATCGAAGATGGGAAAGCTTTTAAGTCTTCTGGCTCGAGATGAGTCTACCTGTTGCACCGCTCAAAAATATGACGTCTTTCTGGATTTTGAAAGTAAGTCTGACAAGCATACACATCTGTAGTAGATCGTGAATCACGTTTTATTCGTTAGCCAAACTTTTTACGGTGAATGAACTTTATACGTTAAATAAAATCTTTAAAGTGACACGGTTTTGTTAACTTTTGTTTTTATGATAGTGAAGAATAACTAAATAATATCGGTGTTTCGTATCGAATTTTTTAGACGCACAACCTTCTGACATAGAACGAGACACTTTTGAAGCGGTGCAAAGGGTTCTGAAAAATTCAGAATCTATCTTGGAGGAGATTCAGTGCTACAAAGGGGCTGGGAAAGAAATCAGAGAGGCGATTTCGGCGCCTACGGAAGAGTGTCAGCGAAAAGCCTATCTGACCGTTGCTCCTCTTGTTGCAAAGTTGAAAAAATTCTATGAATTTTCGTTGGAACTCGGTGAGTGACATATGTTCATTCTGATAACAATAAAAACGGAATTTATTATATTATGAAACATTATGAAAATTATTAAAATTCTTTCACTGTTTAAATTGACCACAAATATCTACTTTAAATGTTCATTTAAGTAGATATGAGATTACTGTTGGAATTTACAGCTAATAGTTTTACTGAATTCAAATTCCTATAGATTCACAGTGATTTTAACGAATGGAATGTTGGATTGAAATCTCGAAATAAAGTTTTTACGTTTCCAAGTGGATGTATCCGTTGGTCGCTTCAATTTCTTTCTCATTTACTGATAAAAACGTACGGACATAAATGTCGATATTGCTTTTGGCAACTGCTACTGCTTGCAATTGTTTAGCCCGAATAATTCCGTGTACGCCGGTGATCGAAAATCCAATATCGCTCCATCGACAAAAGCGAAACTTTTAATGGTTCACAAAATTCCGAAGAATTTATTGCCTTTATTTGAAATAACGTTGAAGCTACCGAAGCAGGGTAACCTTATTAGACAGACTATAAATTAGTACAAAAAAACGGATGTATTGGTAAAACTTCTTTTAAAAAGTCCTGACGCGAAGAGAAAGTTATAAAACGGAACACTTGTTATGGTTATTCTATGTACGTATATGAAAAAAATAATTTTGGTTTACTGCTCGTTAAAAAATGTTTGGAACATAGTCTTTACCGAAAGTAAACTTTTAAAGACATTCTAAGAGTTTAATTTAATATTCTCAAGTATGAATTTTAGATGAATTTAAAATCAATTCATCATTCTGTTTTAACCCTTTGCACCTGGTATTTCCTAATTCCCCATACATTATGTCCCTTCGGAGAGGACAATCGAGTGCAAGGGGTTAATTCATTTTACGAAATCCTTAAGTAACTTCATTGTTGAAACAGATATCTCATGAAAAAAATTGTTAATAATTTTTATTCATGAAAATTCATTCGAACAAATTAATCAGTGAAACCAACATTCCGATCTAATAATTTATTTGCGTGAAATCTTACTTCGTTGGAATAATGTAATATACACGTTGTTTCATTTATCTCCACCAGAACAAAATAGAAAAGAACATTAATAACTAATGCATTTTTATATTGACTAAAAAAAAAAACTATACCGTATATTGTATGACGTCTTCGACCAATATTACGTCAGTGGTCGAATTAAATGAAACATCCTGCATAAAAAGAAATATGCAGGATAAAACCACTGTTGGAATTAAACAATTTATATTTACCCATGAAAATTTTCTGGTTTTCAGAAAGGGTGGTACCGAAAATTCTCGGTCAGCTGTGTTCAGGGAATCTCTCCCCGACCCAGCATCTCGAGACCCAACAAGCATTGGTGAAACAGCTAGCCGAAATCTTGGAATTCGTTTTAAAATTCGACGAGCATAAAATGAAGACGCCCGCCATTCAGAACGATTTCAGTTACTATCGGAGAACGCTGACTAGGGCATCATTGACAAGGCAGGACACCGCTGAAAAGGATCTCGTGGTCGGAAACGAGCTCGCCAATCGAATGTCCTTGTTCTACGCCCACGCGACACCCATGCTTCGCGTTCTGAGTCACGCGACCATTACTTTCTTGATGGACGTAAGTGGTACCGCTTCTCTTCTGTGTGCTTTCCTGTCTTTTCTCTGTCGCTGACAATTATTGATCTGACTAGACGCCAACTCATGTTAGACTGCATACTCATTATCTGAATTCCGAAGCGTCCTCCACGAGGAACACATTCACATTTCTAATATCCATCCGAGTCGTTCGCTACCAATCATTGCTTCTAAACTAGGGTAATTTTGATAGAGATGGACCTACGTTATTAAAAACTATTCAAACTTAAATGTTATAACAGTACTGAATATTATATTTGCCAGTTTGTAACTATCATCTTTAGAATAAGTAACTATTATAAAGCAGTATCTTATTAAAGAAATAAGTAAATTAAATTTGCGATTCTGATCCATCTCTCCCTTACTATTACGGGCGAGATGGACTACTTCAATAAAAGTTATGTTCGTTGGTTAAATTGATTTGTAGAAATTATTTTTATCGAAGAAATTGTTTTATTAAACAAAAAAATGTTAACTACTAAACATTTATAAATAATGTAAACGTCTCCTTAAACAACAGAGTGATACTAATTCTTGTGACAGCATGAACAATTTTTTGCTAGAAATTAAAATGTCGATTTTCGTCAATACTATGACAAACTACGATGTATAATTTAACAAAAATAACACTATCACATTGCGCATTTAATGGATAGTTTGAGACCTATTTAATTGGTCCGTCTCGCCCCGTGGTCCATTTCTATCTGAATTACTCTATATTATAAACTAACATATCATGTAAACTACATATTGTATACTTCTGGTCTTTCTAAAAGAAAATAAGTAAGAAGGAGGATTCTGAATTCAGAAATTAAAAAATTATTGTACTTCGATAGTATACAAGTTACACTTTCAGCAAATAATTCAACAGAGTTTAAAATATAGAATGTGAACGTTTAATCTCTATGATTCATAAATATTAGTTGTATTCGAGAATTACACGCATAACATTTGACTGATGATGCTTTAAAATTTACAAAGCAATACGATTATTTTCATCAAAGTTAGGTTTATTTTTACGAAAAATGGACGAATGGAAAATCTTTTAAGTTGGAATTCAAATGAATTTCCGTGCTTCCCTGATATCGAACGGGACAGCATTGTCACGGAGCCTATTCTTCATGCAAACGTATACGTCAACTGTGCTTTTCATTCGTCTTAACCGTCCTCGGGCGGAGCTGGGTCAATTTTAACGCACACTATTATATAGCAAAGTACTAATATTATAAAGGTTCATTCATCATACATCTGCCATGACTAGCTAAAGCAAAGAAACAGCAAATAAATAATAATAACAAGTAGTATATACAGGGTGTTTGACATGTGAAAAATTTCACATAAACAATGAAAAAACTTCACATATACATGTGCCCTATTATTTGACCTTGTTCCCGAGTTATAGCCATTTTTGTATTCAAATAATTCTTAATGACAAACTGACCAACGTAGTATAACTGATTCTGCTGAACTGTTTGTGTACAATGCTCGATAATCTTTTTTTTAAACAAATTTTTAAAAGATTCAGAAACTCCATGACACTGGGACCGCAGCTTTACATTCAAACCAAAGGCGGCCGTTTCGAACACTTCTTATAAAGGTAAGCAGTTGCACATCACTGTAGCACAAAAATGGCTACAACTCGGGAACAAGGTCAAGTAGGGCACGTGCTTATACGAACTTGTTTCATTGTTCTTGTATTCTCTGTCCACCGCTCAAATGCGATCCGTATGTTAAAAAACACCATGTATATAATGTATCTTACTACATTTTTCTACACTCATATTTCATGTATCGTTGTAAGTGAATCATACATACATTTGTATAAATGAATCGTTTGTTTCTAATTCGTATACATACATGCATATTTTTTTCCGCTAACAATTGACATAATTTTTTTAAAATAAGTGGAACATAAAGTTGAAATTCTGAAATAAAAACATGACAGAAGAGTTTAATTTACGACTGTGTAGATGAGAAAATTGACCCAGCTCCTTCTGCTGCCCAATTACGAAGACAATTAAGAAAACACGTTAATTAATATTTCGTAATGATAATGTGAACGTATTATATTTTTTATTTCGATCGGAGCAAAAAATTATTTCGTTCACTTTGTGCAAATGTCACGCCACGAGCATGGATTAAGAGACAGAACTGTGCTATAATGATAAACAAAAAAAAAACAGTGTGATATAAGTAGTGAAATGCGTTGAAGTAGAAAATTAAAATCCATTGTATGAAATGATTCAGACTACAACCGTTCTCGGAACATTTAACAGCGTAATAGCCGATCCGGTTAAGTTGCGCAGATACAGTTTTCAGTGGGGTAATCTAGAAAGTAATTGGAACATGTGTCCTTCGAATTAAAGTTTGCTTGTCGAGTACTTTTCAAGGAAATCGGTTTCATGCTATATTTTTAATATCTGAAGGCTGCACATACAAGAATAAATTCTATTAATTAAAGAATAAATTATGTGCAATTGAACTTTAAATGTATACCTTACTTTCTAAATAATAAATAAATAATACATAGAAAATAATTTTTCTTGAAAATAAAATCGACATTTCTAATCGATCATCTCATTTTGCAATATTTTGACTGCTTTCTTGTATCGAGAAATGTGTGTTATCATATGTATGTAGTAATGAAATTAAATGAATAATATGGCGAATTTATTGTTTTAGAACGAAGATGTAGCACGCGAAAATATCACGGAAACACTTGGCACCATGGCCAAAGTTTGCTTACGCATGTTAGAAAATCCGTGAGTAAATTATTAATCAATAATTCAAGCGCTCCAGTTACATGAATGGAACAAAAAGTTTCGAGAGATAGGAAGTTGCAGCTTAAAATGTAATATACCATTTTGTTTTTAGTAATCTTCTGGCGCAGTTCCAACGAGAGGAGACTCAACTCTTTGTTTTAAGAGTAATGGTTGGGTTGGTGATCCTTTATGATCACGTTCATCCTCAAGGTGCCTTTGTTAAGGGTTCAAATGTTGACGTAAGTACGGACGACATTATTCTAGTTACACGGAGGAAATGTAAAAATACTTTTAGCATCGAAATAGGGCGAACGATTGAACCAGAATATCATACTGCAAGCTATAAATATTTATATCAAGATAAAAATAATAGTGGGCAATATTATGTCTACTGACATTTACGATTTTATGCGAGTGATACTAAAATAAGTAAACTAATAGATGACTATTTTAGTTAATTACAAAAGAACTAAGTTCCTATTTTTGTTCGTTTTTGTAATATAATATTATTTTGGCTTCACAGAATGGCCAGAGTTAATACATATTACTTTATAAAATTCCCTCTATGAGATTACTTTGATTAGAACCATTACAGAAGTACTAAAAAAATGTTTCATTAACAGTTAGCACTAGAAAGATTAGTTTAATTAAACCCATTATGGAAGTACTAAAATATGTCTGATTAATAGTTAATAATTCTATTTCCTTCCCAAATGTTCTAAATAATTTTTCGTTTAAAACACAATAATTAACTTCTCTAAAGGAATACTAAAATCGTATACGTATCTGCAATCTCAGATATTTCAGATCAATTTTTCTGACTTCTTATGGAACACTCTATTTCGATTTCATGAATTCTATAAGCTGTTTAATCGATTTTCCCGATAGTCTGTTCACAAAAATGTTATTCATTTCTATCATAAATCATTAATAATTGTATTATTCAATTGATAGGTTAAAGGGTGTGTGAAATTACTGAAAGATCAACCGCCTTGCAAGAGCGAAGGTCTTTTGAACGCTCTTCGTTATACAACCAAACACCTGAACGAGGAGAACACGCCGAAAAATATAAAGAACCTGCTGGCCGCATGATTACCGAAGCAACGCGGCTGCTGTATCAGAAGCTGAGACAGCTGGTTGCTACTCTTCCAGAACCTGTACGGTGTGATGCATCGCGTATATGTATCACCACGAGGACACGTTGAAGAAGACATCCTCGAGTTTCCACGTGAACCAAGCTATCACGGGCTGGGTGGTGGATCAGAAAACGCGTCTTTCGAACCGAGTTTAAATACTGCCCGGAAAACTGCCGACTTCTGCAAATAAAAAATAAAAAAAAAAAAAAAATAAAAAAAAAAAGAAATACCTTCGACGAAAGGAAAGATAGAGAATCGTAGGAAGAAACACCCGCGACGACGACTGATTGTTTATGCAGGAATTGCTGAATTTTTCGCTGCGATGCCTTTATTGCCCGCCACGGACACGCAAGCGTATTAGGAATTATTATAATATATTGCTACCCTCCTCACCACTTGGATTCTTATCGATCATTGCTATAATTATTGCGATTTTTGATGTTCATTTGAGTTATATTATTGTATCGAAGTATTATTGTCCTGACTAACGTCACTTATTGCTCCCCCTTTCCTCATTGTCAGACGGGGATTGAGTTAATTACAGCATATCGATAGCGAATTTAGGGTAATTTCGATTGCGAACGTTCGCAAGGTTTTTGAGAGGTTTAATAACGTTGTAGATATCGTGAAGATCTTTAGCTCTTGTTTTCTTTGTTGAACAGTTGTCATCGGGTGAGAATATAGATTAAGACTCGCACGACCGTCAATGGGGTTTTTCAAAACTTGGGTATATGACGGTTGTGATTGGTATTCTTGAGAAACTAATTCTTTTTTTTTATTGAACACGTGTCGAAGTGTATCCTAAAATAATTATCGAACATTATTAAACTAAAGAAACATGTTCTGAATATGAATGTTACAAGACAGAAGGATCTAAAATAATTCAGTGATTGCTGTTCGTGTAAGTTTTTCATCGATGGTCGTGCGAGTGTTAAGGAAAAAGTTGTTATAAATAAAGGGAATGGACATTGAACGAAATCGAAAATCATGGACGACTAACGTTATTTTTGTTTTGTTATGGTCGACAAGTTTAAGGAAATTTTCTAACAAATGTTTTTTACAGAAAATATTCTTATGGAAATTTCGTTCTTCTCTCTTTGAGTGATTTCTACATAATGGCGAATTGAAAACCAAAGATATTATCATTAATATATATCACTGCTTTTGTTATGCATTTACTATTATAGTATTTTTTATAAGGACAGTGTTTATGTCTTTAGCAAAAGAAGTTGTGTGACGCAATACATTTGACTGGAAAAACTTTTACTGGAACAATATAATTCCTCGCGCCGGCAGTCGCGTTGTACACTCTCCTTCTAAGTGCACATCTACAGATTCTAAGCGTATGAAATCGATTTACTGTGTAGACTTTCTTGCATCAAGACTTTTACTATTTGTATCCAATGTTATACATAAGAGATCCTATTGAAAAAGCTGTCTTGGTCATTTTTATTAATCTCCTGTAAGGAAACATTGAAGGAATAAGATTCCTAATTTCATACAAATAAATTATTACGTTTGCTTATTTAAAATATATTTTTAAATTTAACAAGGTAATCGTCATCGAAGAGACTGTCGGTAATAAAATATGAACATCCAATTAACATTTTCGTAAACATCCGAAATCTAATAAATTTCTGTTTGACATATGGAAAAGAAAGAACAAGACAACTTTTAGAAACGAATTTCTTACATGTTAGTTGTAGTTTAAACCTTTTTAGTCACATTTACAATAACTTTGCCATTGTTGCTTTCGTGTAGTTCTAATTGCAAGTTAATTTTTTGTCTGTTCAATTACACTTTCTAACGGAATTTCTGAGGCAAGTTGTTTGTGCAAACCGTTTTCTTTGAAAAACATTTCGATTGTTCGTCTCTTATTTGACTGTTAGATTCGTTTTCATTTTATGTCGATCATTTAACTAAGTTTTTTAATGATTTTCAATAAAGATGATTACCAACTTCTTAGTTATGTATTCAGTACACGTATTTATTTCATTATTTTAATATGGAAGTTAGAATAATATATCGGTAAAATATTTTCTTCGCAAGGTAACACTGCCGATGCGAAAGAAATTCAAACAAGGTTAATATAAAGAATTCAGACACTAGTACCGTAAGCAACACTTCTGACTTTTAATGTTTTCATAAAAACGCATGCTTCCCATATTAGTCTTCCAACTATTTTTTCATCATTCTTTCAAAGACGATCAATCGAAGTAGTAACTTACATGTATTTGCAGGAGGGAAAACGATGCAGACGTGATTATACAAATAAATTAACTTTTACACTCGCGTTAAGAAAATCAAGGCTCGAAGTATGTTTCGACCTAAAAGTAAACAATACGAAGATTCCGTGAACAAAATTTACTATAATGTACTGTACGAATATCTTGAGGGAGACACACTTCCAAAATGTGAAACAAAATCATTTTCGCAAATAAGTAGGAATCACCTCTATGTAACCGAAAATATTTCATACGAAAGTGTTCATTTATATATATATATAAAAAAAAATATATATATATATATATAAAACAGAAAACTTTAATTAAAGTCGCCTGTCGTTTATTTACTTTAAAAAAATTAATTCAACCGACAGTTTGTTTAGTTATAAATAACTCACATTATTATTGCCTTGTAAATATTTTTTAATGTATATACATCTGCTTTACTTAGAGCATAATTTCACAATTGTCGGAATGTCGGATTATTTTGTTACACTTTAATTTTATACAGTGAAATAACAATTCTTCTGTGCATAGAGTTACGGTTCCGAATGTTTCAGTGAAACTTATTATTAATATTTTATGACTAATGCGCTATACAGTGGTGCACGCTTAAGCGTCCACATTTTTGCCCACTTTAGTGTTCGTTCCTATCCAAACCAGTCCTTCGATCTATGATCTATGATCTACGTTACGGAAACTTGCTTGTTTCGCATTTTCGGTACATCTCTCGCTCACTCTCGTTATTTCTCTCTCGCTCAGTCGAATTCGCGGAAATATGTCGCCCAGATAAGCGTTCAGATAAGTACCTGAGGCCTAGACGCTTAAGGAGGCACTACTGTATTATCTATTTATAAACACTGTTACTTGAAATTTGGAACTGTAAACACCCAAGAGTTAATAAAATACATGATATAAATTTTAGCAGTGTTATCACTAACAAGCATTTTTGCAATATGAGGAGCATTTATTAAGAAGAGTGAGGGATATTTCAAATAATAAAACTGTTCACTCTTCACTAATTCTAGCAAAAACTGCGAGTGGACTTGATAAGTAACACGGTGGTTACACATACGGTGTCGCGTTTAACTCGCCTATCTCATCACGGAAGGTGCAGTGTACATAATACTGTTTTAATAATGTTTTTATTGGTGCAATGAATATTGGTGGCAATTTGATTGCTTCTTGTGTTGCGGATCACACGTAATGGGTAAAAGATGCTAACCAAGCTAGACATTTGCCACTACAGTATGTCACGAGTTATTACCTTTTTCACATAATACCTTAATATTTTATTACGCAGAATGTTTGGAAGAATCGATTTATGTAATAAAAGTATTTTATTTCATAATATTTCAATATCATTAATAAAAATATTATAATTAACTTTGAAAACTTAGAAGACACTCCACCTACGAAAAACTTGTTACTGCTAAGTAATAGCCCCCTTCATACTGAACAACTTCTGGGAATAAACTTTTCTGGTATATCTAAAAATAACGGAGATAATTAATGTAACCGTAAAGTACGCATATCCAGCCCACTGTATACATACATGTATATTCCAATAAACATACGTCAGGTAATATAAGCTTCATTTCATCGAATTGTCTTAAATATAACTGTATAAATATTGTACAATCCTATACTAATTATAGTTGTCCGGTTCAACAGGTTACTACAGAAACGAACTACTGCCTACGTCTTTTAAACCTGGGCTGTAGTAGTATCTGCAGAAATGCCATGGTTGCTGGGGTTACTATATAATTTGCTCACGAAAGCACATACAAGTGTCAGTCAGATTTCGACAGTAGCACGAGCAATATTAGACCGAGCTCGAGACTTGTACGAGCAACAGCGGTAGAGGATCACGTTTCAAAACTCTTCTTTCAGCAGCACTCTACTATTCAGTACTATTTCAGAACTATTTCCATAAATTTAACAACAATTGCCTTAAGTTCTACTTATATACATGATTTTACAATATATTTATAATAATATTTGTATAAATTCAATAAAAGTGTCCTTAGATACTTATTTTACTTAAATCCTACTTATCTATATGATTTTACAATATATTTGTAATGATATTTATATAAATTCAGAAAAAGTAGGCTTAGATATTATTCAGGCGTATAAAATATTGTAACTTATAAATATTGTATCTATAACGTGGGGTCATAGAGCCCTCGGTGGAGGCGCCAGTGACTCCGTGTGGCATGAACACGGGGTCATGGAGCCCCTGGTGGAGGCGCCAGAGACCCCGTGTACCGACAACGCGGGGTCATAGAGCCCTCGGTGGAGGCGTCCGAGACCCCGTGTGCCGAGAACGCGGGTTCATGGAGCCCCCGATGGAGGGCGCCAGCGACACCGTGTGACGACAACGCGGGGTCATACAGCCCTCGGTGGAGGCGCCTACTGTAGAAGTTTGATTAGTTGAGCTCGAGGGGATTGAATCTAATTCTTAAATTCACCGTCCTAAAACATAGATGGTAACACAAAATCTCTGATTTTTTGCACGATCGGTATTTCAGAACATGAAACAGGAAGATCTCATAAGATGATAAATCTATTCTATATGTACATACATATGTATCCTTGCGTCTACAGTACATAATACACGTTCATTATCTTTCTTCCACTAATTAATTTTATTTTAAGTAATCAATAGTGACACATAGAAGGCTTTTTATCATCATGTATTTTTGTTACGTTGTGTAACTTTGGACTGCCTATTTAAATATCACCGATAATAGCTCAAAAAACCGACAAATCAAATTCAATTTATTTATAGAATAATCTCCATCAAAGCAATGGTGTATTTTATTACCAATTATACTTCAACATTAAATACTATAGTATTACATAACCGTGTAAATTATTACTGTACAAATTACATTACCACGTTGAACTTCACGTTATTAGATTCAAATGCACTGCCGGAAGTACAATTCAATGCTTTTTACATTTTCTTGTTTGCTCTTTCAATCCGAAGATTAGAGATTATTAGAATAGAAACAA